TAGAAGCATCTGCCGATAAAACCGATGCCGGTAGCGACAAAAACTGCGGGGAACTTTGCAAAAAACACATCTTCGCACGGGCAGCCCGTGCGTTGGCCAATTATATCATTTTCTATTTGGACTATTCGAAAATGTTACATCGCGATTTACTCGCCTCCCTTCTTCCTAATTTCGCTTACTTAATCTATCTATGAGGGTATCTATACCTCAAACACTGGCACTGTAGTTGTTATGATTTTTTGCACCTTTTTGACAATGGATGGTACCCACGAAAAAGCAATCGGCTACTTCGGCGGATTCCGAGAAGGTGGAGCACATAAAGTGAACAGATTTGAGTATTATCAAGAAATATCGCTGCTTGGAACGGTTTAACTCTGGCACGTTTATGTCCGGTGTGCGTATGTATGCATTCCAGTAACATTAGCAACATCGAAACTCTATTTCGATTGCCTGAACGGTCATGATATTTTAACAAACTGGTTCTCGCCAGTACAGCAACTTCTAAAAAAACTGAGAAGTTCGAGCAACAGTGTTGAGACTTTCAATATATTTCCGCTTTTCTGGCGTGCTGTTACTTAGATGAACTTACTGAATATGATCGATGGCCTGTTTGAGAAGTTGCGCAGTGGGATATTGATTCAGGTCGAACTCGTGCCTAATTCGATCCGAGTACTGCACTACTGCAACTCGTGTCTGCTGTGGCGAGATGTCGAAAAGCTCGATGAAATCCTTGACGAAGCGTAACACCTAAAATAAGACAATGCAAAAATGTTTATCAAGCACAGGAAAAACTGCTTTCTTGACATTGTAAGGTAGCGACTCGCGTGTTCCCGAAACTTAAATGTTTGATAAATACGATAAATATCACATAGGAATTGATTAATAACAATAAGTATCACGGGAGTTGATCAGTAATAAAGAAACTGGGAAAGTAATAGACAAAAAAAAAAATCGCTGTCAGTTGCGTGGTTGTGAGACAAACTACGAAATACAGCTGATCAAAGTAACAAATTGTGCAGTGATAATGATAAATATTACGCACTTGAAAAAACACTGCAATAAATATGACAAATATATTTTTTTGAGGTAAAAAATAATGAACTGTTTAAATTGTTCATTCAATTCCTGAAGATACGTCTATTTTGAATGCATAAGCGTGTAAGGCAAAAATTTTTAGAATTAGCATAAGTATATAGTAAATTCAACTTC